CGGCCAATAAAACTGGATTCTTTGAATTATTTTGACCCCCATTGATAAAAAATATTGCCGGGGAAATAATAGTTTTTCAGTAACCCCTGGAAAATACGATCTTTTCACCCAGTAAAGATAACGGTGGAAAGAGAACGATTGTTGCAAAAAATGTATTTGCTTTTTGAACAATAAGCTTTCCCTACGTTTATAAGCATAATTAAAGAAATTTTGGTCACGATCGGTAATTTGTACCCCATCTTCAGTGAATTTAACAGTAAACAGGTTTTTTTACTGTTCGTATGTTGCACTTTTTGAAAAAACCCAGGCCCCTGACGAAGTGACAGGTTTAAAGATTAGAATTTTTCATGTTTCAAAAAAAAGTTCGGATTACTTTTACCATTCAAAATCTTGTAATTGACGGGTCTTGATTTTGTTCAAGGTTTTGAGTCTTTAAAAAGCAGTTAAAAAGAGAAAGGGGAAACCGTTTTGGTATAAAAATTTTTTTTGTCCCTTGGATTGTGAAAGGGGCCCTGGGTTGGATATTTTTGTATACAGGGTAGTAAAACATTAAAAGATACCAAGTTTTATTGGATTCAGGTGACGTAGTGAGAAACATGATGGCCCCCTTATTTGGTAAGGGCCCATGCATTAATACCGAAAGGTACAAAAGCCATTATCAGTGATTATGCGGTGAAACAACGATGTGGTGGCACAGGGTTCTAATCGTAAACAATCCCGTCTAAACCAGGAGTTGTGGTGATACGTGCGGTGTTTTCCAATGAACAGGCTTACGGGGGCATGAAAACGAGATGTCCTTGTTGAAAAACCATTACGTAAGGAAAGAAAAGCAGTGCAAATTTTGATCGAGTGTAAGAACGTATTCAAAAACCCAGGTCAGTGTTGATTATACAAAAAAACCCCTTGGTTGACAAGGTGACATGCAGATTGGTTTTGTTGACTTTTTGAAAGGTTTAAAGTGGTACTAACTTTTTTCCATTCAGGGAAATTTCAAGCTGAATGTTTAAAGACAAAAAAGGGATGGAAAGACCCTTTATGGTAAAATTTTGTTTGTTGTTGTCAGAAAATCTAAGAAGTACAGGAAACAACACCGCTACAACATGTCCCAATTCATCACAATATCCAAGCTTTTTGAGGATGAAGGTGATATTTATAATACAGCTTCTAAAACTCAAAAAAATTTGTAAAAGGATGCATTTGTCTGGGCACAAAAAACGACGGCAACAAAACCAAAGACACTGGGTTTTAAAGTGTGGGAATGTAAGGTTTCCCTCTGTGAGGTCCCTTGTTTCAAGGGTTTCCACAAGCTCCAGCAGTTCAAAAACCAGCCCAGTGATTGTAATTGTAAATTTTAATGATAGAACATTAGTATTTAAATTTTTGTGATGTTTTGTAATAAAAACAGTGGTAAACAATAATATGATTAAAATTTTTATTTGGGGTTTTTGTTTTCAATACGTGGTAAAATTTATTCAATTTATACAGTTTGGTCTTCAGGCCAAATGTTAGTAGGAATAGAAAAAATTAAAAAAGAAAAGAAAAAAAAAAACTAAAAACAAAAATATAATACGCGTTTTTGGGGAAATTTCGTCGATGTTGCCCCCACCATTCTTTTCTATAAACTTCTTGGCCCCGAAATTCGGAAAAGTAATGTCAGATTCTATTTTTTTTTTTTATTTTCACAAAAAAATGCTCTTTATTCTGTAAGAAAAATAATTTTTTTTTTTTTTAAAAATTTTTTGGACATGGTGCGTGATTTAGTTTTGGCCCTTGGGCCCTGAAAGGGTTTTTAAAAACAAAAAAAAATGTGATAACTGGTTTGGGAAAAGACAGCGTGAAGAATGAGACACTTTGCAAAATATGGGAATCTTTTTGAAGAAAGTTTTCACCAGTGGGTTATCAGTCAATACAAAAAAGGAAGGGTAAGGAGGAAATTTTGGGTATCGTCCCCCGCCTGGAACGTGTGTTCAGTCCTCATAACAAGGATTTGTATAGGTTAAAAAAAACTGGTGTTTATGAGTCCTGCAAATCCCCACCCTTCGCATCCCGGGGAATGGCAAAATGTGACATCTGCAATCGCATCCGCATTTTACTGCAACAGAGGTTAAAACATCCGAATACCTCCCCATCCCCGGATATCTAAATTTTACATCCCTGATCCCTGCTATGTATACAGTGGACCCTGGTTTAGTTAATTTCCGTTCCGAGAGTTCATCGTAAAACAAAATTTCGGAAAGCGAATCAATTTTCCCCCTAAGAAAAAGGGAAATCAAATTAAACTGTGCAAAACACCCAAAAGTATGAAAAAAAAACTTTTTTCCACTGAAATATTAAATTTAAGGCATAGAATAATTACAATAAAATAATAACAATAGAAAAGACAATTTGGGTAATTGGCCCCTTACCCTTTTTGAAGATTGGTGTGATTTATGGGGTTTTTGGGGGGGAGTGTGAGTTTTTAATGTTTAGAAGGGGGGAAACCCCCCCCATTGGACTTGAGGTAGCAAGTCCTTTTCCGGGGTTACTTCCCTTCTTCTTCAATGCACTAGGCCAGCTTGAGGTCACTGGGTTCTGTCGCCAAAAATTTGTCCTGAGACCTATACCTCTCTTCCTTTTTGACTTTTTTAAAATGGTTAAACATTGTCAGGTCGGGTTGCCCCAAAAGGCTTGCAGTGCTGTTTTTAGGGGGATTTTATCAAAAAAAGGGTTTGCACTTCAAGCCCTTTGCACAATTTCCTTAATCTTTAAAGTGGGAACTTCGTCAATTTCTCTTCCCCCCCTCTCCCAAACAGTTTCCCCGGTCTGGCTCTTGCTGTTTGGGTGATTAGCAGTCATCAGTGGTTTTTTCATTGTCCTCCTCCCAAAATCTTCCCCCCCTCCCCCTAACCTCCCAACCCAAGGACTTTCCCAAAGCCACAATGGGTTCCTCAACTGGGATAGGATTCCCGGGTTATCTCAAACCCTTCAAAATTCTTTTGTCACACATTTGCCACAGTTTCTTAAGAGAGCTAAGGTTCTCTTAGTCACTCCCCCCCCAAACCTTACTATAAGTTTACACGTTGAGGGAAATTAAAGTGTTCCTTCCAAAACTCCTTTTGAGTCAATAGTTTCTGTGGTCACTTCAAAGACCTTTCAAACATAGCTTTTTGTACAGTTTCTTGAATTTTGGGAATTTACCCGCTTCCATGGCTGCAGGAGAGGAGTGGTATTAGGGGGCAAAAACTTGACCTTAATGAAAACTATGTCCCCTCAAAGTCACTTGACAAATCTGAGGATGACCCCGGGGCATTATCTAACACAGGGGAATTAGGTCTAATTTATTTTCAATTAGGTATTTTTTCCAGTTGGGGCAAATGATGGGTAACCAGTATAGAAAAAAGTCCCTAGTGACCCCATGCCTTATGTTTGCCCCCCACAGCACACACAAAAAAGCTTTAGGGATTGTTTTTTCCTGAATCTGGGAGTTTCGAGTGATAAACCAAAAAAGCTTCACTTTGCAATCCCATAGCATTGGCACCTTACAGAGAAACCTGTCTTTATAGGTTATGGTCCCCGGGGAAAGCCTTTTCCCCTTGTGTAATGTAAATTTCTTGGAATTTATTTCCAAAAAGGGCCTGTTTATCACAATTAAGCACTTGTTCAGGTTTCAGTCCCTTCGCTTATGTACTCCTGATTCATGCGATATTTTTCGCGCTTTGTGGCTGAACTGGAGCCCCCATGCCAAAACCAAATTGTATTTTCCACACGATTCTTAATCTTTCAAAAAAACCTTGTGGTCTTAAATTCACTACATCACCCCCTAGTTGCAGGATTTTTCAATTAAATCGTCTTCAATGCCTAGCCTTTTCACAAATGATCGCTTGAGAGATGCTATCTCCAGCTATCTGTTTTTCATTTATCCACACCAGTAACAGTCTCTCAACATTTTCTAACACTTGCGATCGCTGTTTTGTAATCACAGTTGCACCTTTTGCAAGAACAGCTTCCTTGATTGCCGTTTTCCTGCTAACTATAGTAGAGATGGTTGATTGTGATTTACTATACAACTTGGCCAGGTCCGATGCACGCACTCCACATTCATACTTTGCAATTATCTCTTTCTTCATTTCAATAGTCATTAGCACCCTTGGTCTCGAAAGGTTGGCACTAGAAGCTTTCTTGTGGCCCATGGTGACTTATTTTGCAGAAACAAGCACCAGAAACAGTGATAATATGGATAATATGGAATGTACTGAATGTATCCTTAGATGCGCGCACACTGGCTGGCTTGTAAACACTGGCACACACAGGGCAGTTCAGGCCACGTGTGGACACATCTCATATGAATCGTATGGCGTACTGGGTTTTGTAACAGGAGCCGAGGCAAATTTTTTGCGATATAACGCTTCGGATACCGGATTTATCGGTTACCGATGACTTTGCGAACCAGGGGACCACTGTACTGACCACTCAGAACCATTCTTTCATATGTAGGCCTGCCAGCTATCTCCTGCAAGATTGAAAACCACTAGAATTTTGGCATAGTACTTCAGGATTGACACTGCCTTCTAAGCCATAATATATTGGGACTGACAGTGAATGTGTTAAAAGTGACAATTTTATTTAGTGAAACGTGATAATAGAAAAAAATTATTTTCTTGATCAATATGTTTTGTTGGTAATTGTGGAATATTGTACTATACTGACTCATGTTTCTATTGCAGAAGTATTTTGTGGAAGACTACCAGGTTGTATCTTGCCAGACACTATATCTTCAGTACTTCAAGAAGCACCAGTGTAAGTGTCTTGAACAACAACTGATATTGCAGAAGTATTTTGTGGAAGACTACCAGGTTGTATCCTGCCAGACACTATATCTTCAGTACTTCAAGAAGCACCAGTGTAAGTGTCTTGAACAACAACTGATATTGCAGAAGTATTTTGTGGAAGACTACCAGGTTGTATCTTGCCAGACACTATATCTTCAGTACTTCAAGAAGCACAGTGTAAGTGTCTGAACAACAACTGATATTGCAGAAGTATTTTGTGGAAGACTACCAGGTTGTGTCTTGCCAGACACTATATCTTCAGTACTTAAAGAAGCACCAGTGTAAGTGTCTTGAACAACAACTGATATTGCAGAAGTATTTTGTGGAAGACTACCAGGTTGTATCTTGCCAGACACTATATCTTCAGTACTTCAAGAAGCACCAGTGTAAGTGTCTTGAACAACAACTGATATTGCAGAAGTATTTTGTGGAAGACTACCAGGTTGTATCTTGCCAGACACTATATCTTCAGTACTTCAAGAAGCACCAGTGTAAGTGTCTTGAACAACAACTGATATTGCAGAAGTATTTTGTGGAAGACTACCAGGTTGTATCTTGCCAGACACTATATCTTCAGTACTTCAAGAAGCATCAGTGTAAGTGTCTTGAACAACAACTGATATTGCAGAAGTATTTTGTGGAAGACTACCAGGTTGTGATCTTGCCAGACACTATATCTTCAGTTACTTCAAGAAGCACCAGTGTAAGTGTCTTGAACAACAACTGATATTGCAGAAGTATTTTGTGGAAGACTACCAGGTTGTATCTTGCCAGACACTATATCTTCAATACTTCAAGAAGCACCAGTGTAAGTGTCTTGAACAACAACTGATATTGCAGAAGTATTTTGTGGAAGACTACCAGGTTGTGTCTTGCCAGACACTATATCTTCAATACTTCAGGAAAGGCAACATCTGTTTTTCTTTCGAAATTTTAACTAGCTAAGTATTACTAATTATACAATTTTATTTTTGATATTGGGAATTCTATCTAAATATGCATGGTAGTTAATAAAAATAAACACAAGCTAGTAATACTGTAATTAATAATATTCAGAAAAAACCTCTTTAAAAACAAGATAAAATTAAAATAAAAATTATGTTGAGTGTATCTGCATTGTACTAGTTCATATATTACTCTTTTAACACACAAAAAAAAATATGATAGTGTTTTAATACACAATATAAACTTTATTAGTGTTCTTAAGTAGGGAAAGTTTTGTTTAAATAAATCTTATCATGAGAATATGTTCATAAGGAAAACTGTGTTCAGTGTCCAAAATAGTTGAAAAAAATATCTTGTAAAAGACGTGAGTACAGTAGTAAGATTAACTATACCACTGTTGCATGACTAAAATATTTGAAATTAAATACCATTGTTTAAAAGATATGGAAAAACAAAAAGAACATAAAACATATCAGTGTTCTGAGTGTCTAAAATGTTTTAGTGAAAAAAACAGTCTTGCAAGACATATGAGAATACATACAGGAGATAAACCTTATCAATGTTCAGAGTGTCTGAAATGTTTTATAGAAAAAGGCCATCTTGTGAAACATATGAGAGTACATACAGGAGATAAACCATATCAATGTTCTGAGTGTTTGAAATGTTTTAGTCAAAAAGGCAGTCTTGTGAAACATCTGAGAGTACATACAGGAGATAAACCATATCAATGTTCAGAGTGTCTGAAATGTTTTAGTGAAAAAAGCAGTCTTGTGAAACATATGAGAGTACATACAGGAGATAAACCGTATCAATGTTTAGAGTGTCTGAAATGCTTTGGTGAAAGAGGCAGTCTTGTTACACATGTGAGAGTACATACAGGAGATAAACCATATCAATGTTCAGAGTGTCTGAAATGTTTTAGTGCAAAAAGCAGTCTTGTGAAACATATGAGAGTACATACAGGAGATAAACCATATCAGTGTTCAGAGTGTCTGAAATGTTTTAGTGCAAAAAGCAGTCTTGTGACACATAAGAGAGTACATACAGGAGATAAGCCATATCAATGTTCAGAGTGTCTGAAATGCTTTAGTGAAAAAGGCAATCTTGTTAAACATGTGAGAGTACATACAGGAGATAAACCATATAAATGTTCAGAGTGTATAAAATGTTTTAGTGAAAAAAAGAATCTTGTGAGACATGTTAGAGTACATACAGAAGATAAACCATATCAATGTTCAGAGTGTCTGAAATGTTTTAGTGTAAGTAACAGCCTTGTGAGACATATGAGAGTACATACAGGAGATAAGCAATATGAATGTTCAGAGTGTTTGAAATGTTTTCGTGTAAGTAGCAGCCTTGTGAGACATATGAGAGTACATACAGGAGATAAACCATATCAATGTTCAGAGTGTCTGAAATGTTTTAGTGAAAAACACCATCTTCTGAGACATATGAGAGTACACACAGTAGATAAGCCATATCAATGTTCAGTGTCTGAAATGTTTTAGTGAAAAAGGCAGTCTTGTGAGACATACACAAATACATTCAGGAGATAAAACATGTTAGTGTTGAATGTTTCAGGAATGTTTTAGTTATAAACTCATCAGAATGTATAAAATGAATGTACCATAACAGTCTTGAGTGTGAAATATGTTACTAATAATAATGATAGTAATAATAATAATGTCTTTACTACAAGTACATGTACAAGGTATACAGGCCTAACTAACATCAATGACATACTGCTATATATAAAGCCCCTTGTTATGCTGAGCATTTCCCACAAATTAGGCCCTTGTCCCAGGATGCAACCCACACCAGTCCATTAACTCCTAGGTACCCATTTTACTAATGGGTAAACATAAACAACCAGTGTAAAGAAATGCCCAATGTTTCTACCCTCACCCTCTTCAAGAGGGGCTCCTTGGCATGGTGAAGAGGCTCTTGGTCTGAGGAATTAGACCTGTTGATCTCTTTCCTCAGACTGAAGCTAATTACCCCCCAATCCTCCCTTCCCTATCCCTTCCTCCCCATCTTCCTTTTTTCCTTTCTTCCTCCTCCCCACCCCTCCCTTATTCCCTTCCTCTTTTTGGCATTTGGGATTCTTCCCACAGACAAGCTAGTTCCTAGATTGGGGGAAGGGTACCACGGTCCATCTCATTCCATTGAGGTTCTTGGCAGTGGTGTAGTTTGCCGTGGAATCTGGATCACCTGGGGATATCCTGATCTCTCTCTCCGATCTCCCTGGGAGTGACTTTGGGTGTCTTTCAGGCAATGGGTGTATCTCTGGAGGCCACCTTTCAGATTCCAGGGGTGGTGGCCAAAGGAGGTATGCTTTCTGGTGGATAACCGGCCACCCTCTCTTTTGTCCACCGATGTAGCTCGGCAGATGTGAGGTTGCTATCCCGGATTACTGGTTTACTGGCATGAAGGGTAGGGTATGACAGGGGTTCCATGCTGCATCTGTGCTACCTGCGGTGCATAGGGAGATTTTTGTCCCTTTCATTCCTCCTAGGAACTAGTATTCCTCCCTGTTCCCTCCTTTTTTTTTCTTAAAAACAAAAAGAAAGAGGTAACCTAACCATTAAGAACCCAATCCGTGACCCTTGTACCCCCGGGCCCTTTCTTGATACCGCATCCCGTTCTGACCCAGCCTCATTTTTTGACCACTCTTCGGACATTTCTATGCCCCTGTACCTCTTACTGGTGCTGTTTCATCACCAGCTTTAGGTACCGAGGTTTCAACTGACTCCTTCGATATGTCTGACCTCCGCTCTCCCTTGACTATGCTTCTGACCTCTCCCTCTATTGTGCAGCAATTTTGAATCGCCAACCTGTCCAATGTTGGACCATCTTCAGTCCCACTCCTAAATGCCAGTGACAATTGCCTGATGATACTTCTTCACCACCTTCTTGTTCTACTCAGAAAAGTCCGTCACGTCATGCACTCCCTTTCCACGCTCAGTTTCAGAATGTACAATGGACTAAATTCTTTGCATTACGACCGACTTCCTCTATTGCCTATCTTTCCAACCATAATATTGGCAAGGCACTCATATGCCATGTTGGTAGAGATATTTCCTTTCTTCCCCTTTTTTCACATATTGATACTATTCCTGTCACTATCAAAAAACATCATTCTTGTAGTGGTACTGTCTTTCTACCTCATACCATAGTCCAACAGAATTTCCAGACATGTGATAATGACTTTCTTGAACAGCTGGAACTCCAAGATCTCCCAATCCTCAAAGTAGACACTTATGTCCTTCCTGCCCACGGGCGGAGACGATACCCTTGTAATGTGGCTCGATTAACTTTCGGCAACCGTGAACTCCCATCCTCTGTTTATGTAGCAGAACATCATTTACAATTTCAAAAGGTGATCCCTACACTGCAACAGTGTAGAAATTGCTGATGATTTGGTCACCCAGTGAAATATTGTGGATCTATAGCTGAATGTCCAGTCTGTGGTGCCGATGACCATTCTAATACATCTTGTAGTCGACCTCCCTCTTGGCTTAATTGTCAGGAAGCTCACCCTTCTTACTCTTTCCTTTGCCAAGTCTACTTAAATTAAATGAGCGAGAAATCCATTGCCTCAAAGAGGCAGAAGGTTTCCCTTATGCTATGGCAGTTTCTCATCTATGCCTCCAAGGGAGACTACCTAGTATTTCTTATTCTCGTGTTTCTAAATGCCCCCACCTCTGGGGGTCCCATCTTTTGCAGCCTCCTCTATGGTTACCCCTTCCATGGTCACTCCTGTCTTTAATTCTTTTGCTGTCCTAGGCTCAGATGTCCCTATCTCAACACCTCAGCCTGTTCTCACTTCGTGTTCTCCCTCACAAGCCCTGGTATCGACAAGACCTCATACAACACCTCCTCCCAATCACCCCTCTACTTCTCAGAAGTCCAAAAATAATCCCCATTGCTCAAATCTCATTTAACCCCTCCTTTCCTTCTCCCTCCATAGTTTACCTTTCTGGTCTCTCTAGCTGGTTCTTCACCTCTCCCTAGCTCTGTTACCAGTGTGGAGGTTCACCCTCCTCCATGAGCGGTGCCTTCCTCCCCTGTCACCTCCCAAGTTTCTTCCTCTTCTGCCCCCTCCCAAGTTTCTTCCTCTTCTGCCTCTTAACACACTTCTCCAGTGCCCTCCACCCTTTTGTGCCCCCCTTCTTTGGTACAATCCATTGCTGTCCCAATCTTTACTCAACCTCCTCCTCCTATCTGCAATATTATCTCCCATACAATGTCTTTGACTTCCGAAATGCTTGAAGCTATCTCAGAATATATTTAAGAGACTAAGCCATCAATGGACACTGATCCACCTCCTGTTCCTTCTCTTCTCTCTCCTTCATCTGCGCAACTTTCTTTGCAGTGCTCCATTCCTTCGCTGCTTGAACATTTTCCGCTTCCACTACATGTGGACTTTTCTAACCCCTCTAGCCCGTAGGTGTCCTTACCTGCGAATTCCGGGTATCTTTCTCAATCATCATGGCCTATTTACAGTGGAATATCCATGGCCTCATGGGTAATCAGGGTGAGCTTCAGATGTTGCTCTTCCAGTTTTCCCCTGTTAGTGTTTGCTTACAAAAACCAAAATTACACTCTGCTGTTTTTCATCCCATCTCAGGCTATAACTTATTGTATTCTTTGGATCCTATTTCTGATGGGACCTTTAATGAAAGTGCCCTCCTTCTATGCACTGATATTCCATACCTTCAGCTATTTGTTCATACCTTGCTGCATTACATTGCAGCCTGTATCCACTTGAATAAGTGGTATAAAATCTGTTATTTGTATCTCTCTCCTTCTCGGGCATTATTTATCCCAGATTTTGCCTTTCTTGTTTCATCCTTTCCACCACCACTTTTGTTGCTTGGCAATTTTAATGCCCATTATTTCCTCTGGGGGTCTCACTGTGACTCACGTGGCATTCAGTTTGAGGCTTTTCTCGGTTCTCACCCCTCCATGATTTAAATATGGGTACTCCCACCCATTTTGATCCTCACACTCATACTCTCTCTTGCAACGATCTCTCAGTCTACTTTTCCTCTGCTGCATTAAACTTCACCAGGTCTCTTCTCTCAGACTTACATGACAGTGATCATTTTCCAATCATTATAAGTTCTCCTTCATATTCACCACCTCTTTGTAACACACGCTGTCAATTTAGTCAAGCAAATTAGGACCATTACTTGTAACTAACTACTTTTAGTGAGGTTCCTTCTTCCTCCTCCATTGATGAACTTTTATACCTCTTCTTGATATCAGTTTTAACCACAGCTTCTCATTCTTTACCCTAAACCTCGGGCAGGCATTCTCAGAAGTGCATACCATGGTGGTCTCCTGCTTGCGCTCATGCAGTACATTTGAAATGCACTGCATGGGGCAGGTACCAGTACAATAGAACCACAGAGAGACTTCTTGATTTTAAGCAGAAGGGAGCGTTCGTGCGCTGTGTCATTCGCGAAGATAAGCACACTTGTTGGCGAGATTATGTTTCCACCATCACATTGGCTTCCTCTATGAGTTCAGTCTGGAAAAAAGTACAGAAACTGAGTGGTAAATACTCTGCTGACCCGACTCCTGTTCTGCAGGTTGCAGGTGTTGCTATAGCAAACCCTCTTGATGTTGCCATTGAAATTGGCAATCATCTGGTCTGTATTTCTCAGGGGCTCCATTTATGCCCCTCGTTTCTTTCCTCAAAGTCTGCCAAAGAATCTTATAATGTGCCTTTCACACTTCCGGAACTGGAGGCGACACTCTCAGCTTGCTGATCATCGGCAGTCTGGCCTAACTGCATTAATATTTGGATGTTACAACATTTACATCAGTCGGCCCTTTCAGTCCTCTTACAATTCATCAATCTTATTTGATAGCAGGGAGTTCTTCCCCAGCCGTGGAAGTCTGCCATTGTTCTTCCTTTCCACAAACCAGGTACTGCAGGACATGATGCCTCCCACTATTGTCTCATTGCTCTTACTAGTGCAGTTTGCAAAGTGATGGAACGCCTGGTAAATCAAAGTTTAATGTGGTATTTAGAGACACATAACAGTCTCTCCACTAGTCAATATGGCTTTCATAAGGGCTGTTCTACCATATACCCCTTACTATGCTTGGATATGTATGTTTGTAAAGCCTTTGCAAATAATCACTCAGTTATTGCCATATTTTTTGATCTCTAGAAGGCTTATGACAACTTGGAGGTATAATATTTTGGCCCGAGCCCACTACTTAGGCCTCCGTGGCAATCTACCATCCTTCCTTAAGAACTTCTTAATTAACTGGCAGACATTTCTGTATTCGGGTTAATAATGTGCTCTCCTCGGACTTGGTCCAAGCTGAAGGTGTACCCCAGGGATATGTTCTGAGCACAACAGTTTTTCTTCTTGCTGTAAATTATCTGGCCTCTCTTCCATCCAATATTTGGGCATCCCTGTATGTTGATGACTTTGCTATAGCTTGTGCAGGTGCTGACTGTCACCTCAATACAGTTTCTCTCCAGTATGCAGTTGATCGTGTTTTCAATTGAGCCACCATGCATGGGTTTAAATTTTCCACTACTAAAACTCACGAAATTACTTTTGCTAGATGCTTTCATCTCCGATCATCCTTTGTACCTCTATGGCTCATGTATCCCTGTACATGATACGGTCAGGTTTCTAGGCCTTCTCTCTTCCCCTCGGCCCTTTCTACCTCAATCTCTTGCTACCCTCTGCCCCTGCACTATCCACTGCCCTGCTGTTCTCCGTAACCT